AGCATTCACCCAGACCAGAGTGAAACAGCAAGCATCCACTGACTCCTGCTCAGCAACCTCCTAGAGCCAGTAATTCTTTCAAACTGACTTCAGATGAATAACTCCATCAATAGAAAGGTGTGACCATTCTTTAACCACAACTAATTTAACTAATGGAATTCACTTGAGGCAGCACAAATTATTTCATGCCAATTAATACACCACAACTCAGGTTTATAGAGCCATTTTACATTTACCAAGTACTTTTCTCCCCTTGTGAGGTAAGTAGTATGAGTACTATTAGCCTCATTTTATAGATGAGACAACTAAGGCTCTGAAAGATTAAGTTACTTGTTCACATGGCTAGTGTCAGAGATGGGATTCAAACCCAGGTCTCTTCTGAACCATATTTTCCAACACTTTTCATTGCAGCTCTTTGACTTCCCAATACTTAAGTGCATTTATATCACACTTCAAAGTATACAAGATAATTTACATTAAAAAAAGGCAGGACCCCTGGAAAAACTCTGCCCTCCAGCTCTACCCGTAATAGTTTTAGCTCTTGCTGGGCTGAAAAAAACAACAATCCCAAGGATCTTCTGTGACTTGGCCCCGCACAAAAGCTTCATGGCCCCACATAATGAGATGTGATGGTCAGTGAATGGGAGGGCTCCATTTTCTACATCTCTTTGCTGCTGACCCTGGGAGAGTTTGTAATGTCAGAAGATACCACCACCAATATTCTGATGAACACATCTGATGGCAGGATGCAGGCTGGAAACTAGGTATTAAAAGAGGAAAATGGGAAGGTGGTGGGGATGGGGCCGGGAGGAAGCTGGGAATTGTCTGTTAACTTGTCAGTTGAGAAACTGGTGTTTGTAATAAGAATGAAGCTGAGGAGAGAAAGACAAAAAAGAGCAAAAGAAATATAATTGGAGAAGAGAGAAGAAATGACTCAGGATTCAGAGGAAGAAGGACAGTGAGATCTTCTTCTTCATCCAGAACCAAGTATAAGTCATGGGTTGCTTCCCATTAAATCTCTGTGATACCTGTGAGGGCAAATTTGCCTCCTTGTTTTAGACTCTCTAAGTCACTTTGCTTATTAACTGTATTTTATGCCTTTGTATATAGACCTTTATTGCTGACTCCTTCCTTAGATTTTGTCTTTTTTTGTTGTTGTGGTTGAGGTAATTGGGATTAAATGACTTGCCCAGAGTCACATAGCTAGTGAGTGTTATGTGTCTGAGGCCAGATTTGAACTCAAGTCCTCCTGACTTCAGGACTAGTGCTCTATCCATTGTGCTACCTAGCTGCCCCAGGTTTTGTCTTGTGATTTTTTGAGTCTCTTTGTACCTAAAGCTGCTCTATGATATTCAGTTTGGTGAAAAATAAAGGTAGTTTTCTTCTTTCCCTTTCTTTATCAGTTTAAAGCACCCTTTTGATGAGCTTTGCAAAGTCCACTCTTCTTATGCCCAAATATTTACATGTTCACCTACTTCCATGTCAGAACTTTTTACCTTCCCTTCCTCACTCTTCCTTGCCTCTCTGGTTCAGCTCTGCAGGTGCTAGCCAAGGACCTGGTTACAGGATTATGAGGATGATTCTCTGACTTCCCAAAATGACTCTTCTACTAACAGCTAATGGAGGGTAGTTAAGCTCTGAATCCAAAGCCTCACTGGAAATTTTAATCAGTTATATTCATAATAATTTATACATCTTCTTTTAAACTGAATTTTACTCCTGCTCAGGGTGGATGAGACATTGTCAATAAATGACTAAGAGAAAGCAAACTCTCATTTTGTTTCAGTTTTCCCTGCCAAGAATAATAATGTTTAAATTTTTAAAAATAGAAAAATAATTCATTTAGAGCTGAAATCTAAGATAAGTCAGATGCCTACCTGCCCTTGATGACTGTGTCACAAAGCCCAGATGGAATAGATCCCAGAGTACTAGCAGATGACTTGTTAAATCATGGTCAATGATCTTTAAAAACTGTAGTGAAGAACAATGATGGTGCAAGAATAGAAAAAGGAAAAGGCCCCCAAGTATGAGATCTGCAAACTGGGGACCAAGCAGCTTGACTTTGATTCCCACCCAAAATTCTAGGATGTGTTACTAAATCAGTTATTATTAAGCTTTTAGAAAAAGAAGTGATGCTGCTAGCAAAAGTAAGTCAAAGGTAGATAGAAAAGTCCCATATACATGAAAACATTGGTAAGTGGTAGCAAAAAACTGGAAACAAAATGGATGCCAATGAATTGGGGAATGTTTAAACAAGTTGGAGTATATTAATATAATGGAATATTACTGTACCATAAACTAAATTAACATAAAGAATCCAGAGAATCATGGGAAGACATATGAAGTGATACATTATCAAATAAATAGAACCAGTAAAACAATATATATGATTCCAAAGACATGAATGGAAGAGCAAAAAATGAAACTGAATGTTATATCATTATATATTATATGTATTATAGTTTGGTCATTACCAAACTTAGCTACTAAGAAGAGAAGACAGACTGAACCTCTATCCGTTCTTTGCAGAGTTGGGGAGGCTATGAGTGTGGAACATTGCCTATACTGTCAGATTAGGATGATGTGCTGATTAATTCTGATGAACTGATTTCTTTTTTTTTTTTAATTCTGTGTTACAAGAATTGGTTCATTGATTAGGAAAGAGGGAGAGATACATTTGGAAACAGGTGATATAAAAACAAAACATATTCATAGAAATTTAAAATTCAAGTAAAAGAAAAGAAAATTAAGTGGTGATCAAAGAGAGTCAATATGTCTTCATCAGGATCAGACAATGCCAGACTAGCCTTATTTCCATTTTTTTTTATTATCTTAGTAGACTTGTTAATCCAGGAAAATGCTGTATATAGAATTTGCCTAGATTTTTAGCAAAGCAGCTTCCCATATCTTGTGGAAAAGATTCAGAGATAGGTTAGATGGTAGCAGATAGTATCATTAGGTAGATCAAGAATTGGTTGAATTGCTGGACTGAAAGAGTAGTCATTAATGATTCAATATCAACATGGAAAGAGATTTCAGGTGGAGTATTCCAGGAACATTTCCTTGACCTTGTGGCATTAAACATTTTTATCACTGACTTGGATAAAGGAATTAATAGCATAAGATATAAAGCTAGGTGGGAAAGGCATCAGTTTGGAAAACTATCAGGATATAAAAAGGTCTTGACAGGAATGCTAGACTGCTTCTACAAAGATTAAATTGAATAAGAATAAAGTTAAATTCTTACACTTGGATTCAAAATATCAGTTTCAAATACAATTGTGGAACCAGAGATAGGAATCAGTTCATCTGAAAATGTTCTGAAGGTTTTAGTACACCTTTCAATATGAGTCAACAGTGTGACATGGAAACTAAAAAAAAAGTTAACATGATCCTCTCCTGTTTTGAGAAACATTGTCCAGGACTAAGGAGTTGATAGTTCTCTTGTACTAACCTCTGCTCAAGTTACTTCCAAAGTATTGCGTGAAGTTCTGGGAGACACATTTTGGCAAGGACATTGATAATATAAACAGAGGACCCAAGGATGAGGAACAAATTTGATTAAGGGCCTTGAGGGTATAGATGAAGATTAAATGATGATGTCATGTAAGTTGAAGGAGAAGAAAATATTGAGCCTGGAGAGGAGATCTGGGAGGGAGGGGGGCATGATAGATTTCTTAAGCATTTGAAAAGCTTTCACGTAGAAAAGTATGGATTTATATTGTTTGACCCTAGCCGACAGGAACAACTGGTGGAAGTTCCAAAGAGGCAGATTTGAGTTTGACATCAGGACAAAACTTCATAATGATTTAAGCTGCAAAAGTGGAATTGGCTGCTTCTGAGGTTAACATCTTCCTATTTGCTGTATGGCTTCAAAGACCAGATAGCAATGCTTTGGCTATGTTGTGGAGAAGATTCTTGGTCAGTTATGAGATGGACTAGATGCCCTTAGAAGTTCCTTCCCACTCTGAGTCTGTGATGAAGCTGTACCTGCGAATGTACTCCAAATAACTATGCATCTTCAACTACATCCCAGAGAAAAATCAATACTGTAAGTTTTTATAATTCACTGTTTTCCATGCTTCCTCTCCCTGGCTCCACTTCATTGATGTGGATAATTGCCATTCTGTTCTGTGTCAAATGGTGAGAATGATGTGTTAGCTTAGGAATATAGCTAGAAACCTACTTCCCCAATCCTACCATAAACTATTTAGTATTGACATTAGACTTTGGGGAATTCCATTGTTTAATTTGTGTTCTACCCATTGCGTAATAAACCAAACATTTTAACTTCCTATTTTAGTTTGCTAAGTAATAATATCATTATCATATGTATAATTAGCAAATATAATAATAAATATGGCAGTTAGGTGCCTCAGTTCCTCATCTGCAAATCAACATGTTGGAGGAAAGTGAATTAAAATCATGTGAGCACTAGTCAATCAGGGAGCTGACTATTCATAACTCAGCTATTTATTGCATCTGTGATCTCATTTAAATTGCTTCCCCACTATGGACTTCAGTTCCTTTAATTGTCAAATGTGAAGTTAGACTAGATTAGTGGTTTTCAAAGTGTAGTCCATACCCCCTGGGTTCCCAGAGAACCTTTCAGTGAGTCTTTGATGTCAAAACTATTTTATAATAATACTAAGATATTATTTTCCTATTAAAATACACCTCCTAACTGTCTCCCCTCTATCCCTTTCTGCTCTCTTTTATGTGTTGTTTTCTCCCATTAGAATGTAAACTTCTTGAGGGCAAAGACTGTCTTCTTTCCTGTATTTGTGTCTCCAGAGCTTAGCATAGTGCCTGGCACATGGTAAATGAATAAATAGATGCTTATTGCCTGTTGTCTGCCTGCACAGCAGGTTTTTAAAAATAAAGTTAAAGGAAATTAACATCTCTTAAGGAAATTCATAAGCATTCATGTTTTGAATTTTGAAAAGTTTTGAAAAGAGAATTTGTGGCAATGGAAAAATAATAACATTGTTAACACTGACCAATTGCTAGAAAATGAACAAGGAGACCAATCGTAACTCCCAAGACTGCCAGCACTCCAAATACAATAAGGGCAATCATCCATAATGGCAGCGATGCTCTTTGAGAAGCTATAACTGGTCTGGAAAGGAAAAAGAGAAAATAAATTAGATAATAATAGTAATTCCTGTCCAATCTTACTTCTTTCTTACTCAACCCAGAAGATCTAAAATTTTAGCATCAATAAAGACTTGGAGAAATCACAAAGTGGCCATTCTCCAAAAGGGAGGGAATGGCAAGGAATAAGTATTTATCAAGTACCTGTCACTTATGGGGTACTGTGCTAAATGCTTTAATAAATTTTATCTCATTTTGTCTTCACAACAACCCTCGGAGGTAGGTGCTATTATTGTCTTGATTTTATAGTTGAGAAAACTGAGACAATCAGAGGGTTAAGTGACTTGCCCAGGGTCACATAGCTAGTAAGTATCTGAGGCCAGATTTAAACTAAGGTCTTCCTGATTCTAGACCATGCACTATACCACCAGCTGCCTCCAAATGTCAAAATGGTCAAAGAATATGAGCAAAGAGTTTTCAGAAGTGGAGAATAAACCATCAAAAATCATATGGGGAAAAAAGGGTCCCAATCACTAGTAATACAGGGGTTGAAAGGAATCCAGATCGAATCTATGAGTTCAATGGTATAGGGAACTTCCGGGTAAAGAAACTCCTGCTACCAATGCAAGTAGGCACTTTCTTTGCAACTCATAGACTTAGAGAACTTCTTTAGCTAAAATGTTAAGTGACTTGTCCAAGGTCATAGAACCTGTAAGTGTCAGAGGTGGGACTTGAGTAATTATTAAGAGACTTTAGTAATTAAATGACTAAAGGTCTTTCTGGTTTCAAGGCCAGTCATCTAGCCACTAATAATGAGAAATTTAAATTAAATAAATTCTGTGGTTTCATTTTATATCTAGCAAATTAGAAAATATGATAAGAAATATAAAGAGTGATTGTGGGAAGACTTGCACATCAGTACACTGTTGGGTAATCTCTTTTTGAAAAAGCGTTCTGGATAACAATTAAGAACAATTGAGAAAAGTGAAAAAGCAGTAATCTGGTATGACTGCTATTAAGTATATAACTCAAAGAGGCAAATGACAAAAAGAAAAGTTCCATATGTTTAAAAATATTTATTATAGCACTTCTTTGTTATAGCAAAAAACTGGAAACAAAGTGGGTACCTATCAACTGAGAGAGCAGCTTGCAACTTTTATGGTATGTGAATGCCATCAATTTATCAAGAAATATTTGTTAAGCACCTACTATTTACCAGACACTATGATAAATTAATGTAAATGTGATAGAATATAATCTTGTCATAAGAAATGTTGAGTATCAGGAGATAAAATGGAGAAACTTGGGAAGGCATGTAGGGACTGCTACAGGAAAAGAAGCAGACCCAAGAGGAAATATAAAATGACTAAGATCATGCTAAGGAAAGTAGTGTTAAGCAACACAAACTCATGTCAATGGAAAGGCCAAGTTTGACTACAGAATTAATAATGAAAAATATCTCCATATTCTTGTGGAGACAATGATAGATTACAGACGTGGAGTGAGGCAAATGCCATCAGACGTGGCCCATGTGTTGGTTTGTTTTGCTCATCTTTACTTCTTTTTTGTAAGGGTGGGTTGTCTTGATGGGAGAGAATAATTGGAGAGTGATAGCCATGTAAAAATAGCATTACTAAAATATAGATGTTATCTTTTTACAAAGGTTATATTCCCAACCCACTGTCAGTGGGGCTTGTGGTGATAAAAGAATCATTATCCTCATTTTAGAGATGAAAAACTGAGAATGATATGACTTGTCCAAGATTACAAAGCTAATAAGCATCAGTGTCAGTATTATGTGTCACTTCTTTTCATGCAAACCTGTATGTGTTTCCCTCCCTTTAATTGTACTTACATTATCCTACATCATCTAGCCACTAATAATGAGAATTTTAAATTAAATAAATTCTGTGGTTTCATTTTATATCTAGTAAATTAGAAAATATGATAAGAAATAATATGATATTATAAGATATAAATGGAGTGGGACAGCTTAGATATCTCTGGTTGGATCTTTGCCCTATCTTTCTTATTCCACTTTATCCTGTAACCTTCTCTTGTCACCAACTTATCCTTAATGTGTCCCTAAGTCTTTGAAAAATTATAGATGCAAACTCTAAACAATGTCTACCTCTAAGGATAAATTCCTTACATGCTCATAAAAATGTATTACATAGTAACATTCTAAACACACAATAAAGGCACTGGATTTCTAATATGTCATTCCACATGCTTATTCCAGACCCTGGTGCATGAAGACCAAGAATGTGCTGCTGATAAATGTTTAACATCTGGCACTCCAAGAAAAAAAGTATGCACAACACACTTTTAAGATTAATATGCATTATTGATGTTTTCCTCCATCACTTTCATAATTCCAGGTAATCAGCAAAACAAATAAACCAAGCTCTGATTTGTAGCATTTGCCAGTTTCTGAAGTGTTAAGTGTTTATACTGAAAATTTAATAGTCAGATCCCATGAGTCACTAAGAGCTGGCTCCAGCGCATATCTGAGAACATCAGTGGCATAGTGAAAAGACCATTGCTCTTTAGGTCAAAAGATCTGAGTTTGAGTCCTAACTCTGCCACTTGTTAGTTTTATGTCTCCAAGACTCAGTTTTCATATGTGTAAAGTGGTAATAGTAATATTCACAATTTATACAAATGTTGTGAGAAAAACACCATGTAAATCTTAAAGCACTATATAAACATAAATTATTATTATTGTACTTATGATGAGGATTAAAATTGAGTTTTGTATTCTATATATAAAATAGTTCTTTTTTTTCCCTTCTGGCTTTCCAAAATTATAATAAAGAGATAGGCTATCCATTTCCCTACTAATGTAATGCCCTAATGATGTAAGCAAGCATGGAATCAAATAGTGAATGTCAAGTTGAGGAAAATCATTCCCCTCATTCATTTCCCTCATAAAGAGGAGTCTTCCTGACCCTAGGCCTGGCACTCTACCGCTGTGCCACCTAGCTACTCTATAAAAATGTATAGGGGGTGCAGCTAGATGGTACAGTGGATAAAGCTCTGACCTTGGAGTCAGGAGGACCTGAGTTCAAATCCAGTTTCAGACACTTGACACTTACTAGCTGTGTGACCCCAAGCAAGTCACATAGGATAAAAAACCAGGCAGTTAGGCCATACACTGGATAGAGTGCTAGGCCTGGAGTCAGGTAGATTCAGCTCTCTGAATTCAAATCAGGCCTCCGACACTTACTAGCTCTATGACCCTGGACAAGTCACTTAACCTTGTTTGCCTCAGTTCCTCAACTGTAAGATGAGCTGGAGAAGGAAATGACAAACTGCTCCAGTATCTTTGCCAATAAAACCCCAAATCACAAAGAGTTGGACATGACTTAAAAATAACTGAGCAACAACAATCAGGGTAAAAATCTCACTTGAAACTTTTTAACTGTATCAAAGACTTCCCTACATTCTGCATTTCAATGTTTTGCTTGATCTTTTTTTCATATGCAAGACAATACAACTACATTAGCACCTGGAAAGGGGAGTTACTCAACCAGAAGCTCACATCTGTTATTAAAACCAGATTTTTCAAGAGTTTATTGTTCAAGACCAAAAAGCTATCAAGATTAATGTAATTATTGAGTAAAGGGAGCTCTGCCAAGGTGAGAGTGACAAGAATCTTTCTTTTCATTCTCTATATACTGCCAGCACAAGGATGTGCCTGGGAGAGGGATTCTGACTCTTTTCCCCCACCCAGTATTTTGCAATAAATTTCAGAGGGAGATTAACTTATGGAACGCGAGGACGGGAAAGTGAAGGAAGTGGTGGGAAGTGGGTGAATGAAAGGAGTGGTCTAGACCCAATCCTTTTGAAAATATCTTGGAACATCTATTAGCCACAGTAATAACTACTTTAAAGCTTTTGTATCTTAAAAATATTAAATAGGACATATTGTTTAAGACACACCTGTTTAAAAGAGAAGAAGAAGAAGACTTAATCCTTTTGCTGGACTTCCTGCTCTGACAAGCCCTAGCATCACATCCGCATACTATATTTCTTTATAATACAAGTAGACAAGCTTGATATTTAGTAAGAAGGAAGCTGACAGAGTTCCACACAGAAAGAAAGAATAGCAAATTAAAATGTGTTACTTCTTTCAACCACAAGGCAATGTCACTTGCTTTTTACTTATGTGTTGTCTAATTTTGTTTAATGTAATTCAGAAAAATGGAATCACCTAACTTGTCAGGGAAAAGAATGCTATTCAGGCTTTTTGGACAACAACAGTTGTTATTGTCTTATTTTTACAACCCTTGATTCCTCATAACCTGACTTTGTCATTGTAATCAGCATCAAACATGTGGTGAGCAGCTACTGAATTCCAACCCAAGTATTGTCTCCTCCATCCCCCAACCCAACCCAGATTCTCTCTGGGTTGAGGATGAAGAAAGGATTGCCATTTACAATCAGTCTAATGAATTTCTGCATGAAGGTAAACATTCCACTTTTACTTTCAGAACACCTCTTCTTGTAGCTCCTGGAAGTACCATTATTATCTCGCTAAAGTAATCAAATTTAACCCCTACATAACCTTTTGCATTCTGTCTTTGTGATTTGGCAGCACTGTAACTCATACTTCTTATTACATAGGTTATGGAACCAATTCTTAATAAAATTCTGGACAAGTTTTCATCATATAGAATATAAACTCCTTGAAGACAAGGACCCTTTTGTTTTTGTCTTTGTAAAGGTGTCTGGCACACTGAAGGTGATTAATCAAGCTTGTTGGAGTGAATTGAACTGGATACAGCCTATGCTTAGATAACATTCATGAAGGAAAACTTGCCTTCTCATAAGGCACTCTGTGTATCTTGGGGAATCCCTAATTATTAAGAAATTCTTCCTTACATTAAGTTATAGTCCATTTCCCTATGATTTCTGCTCAATTGGTCCATGTTTCCCCTTCCAAAAATAAGCATCATAAAGAAACAGCTTTAAACCCCCCTGAATTCCTCACATAAGACAGAGAAGTAAACCCATAATGAC